TCCCATTTCAAAGAAATTGGAGCCTTGCTAGTGATGTTGAAATTAAAACAGTTTTTGGCTTGTGAAGCAGTTCGACAAACCGATTTCCAAAATTTGGACGCATTGCACTATTGCAGGGTGGAGGGCGCCATGGCGACATGTATTTATTGATCAACCAGCTGGATAGAGGAGTGATACAGTTGTACATACGAAACATAACCGAACAGTTATTAGCAAACTGAAGTGCATTAACTGAAGGTATACCCAAACCACCTCTATGCTTGGGACGACAGATGACATCCCAAGAAATCATGTGCAGCTTCCTAGAGGTGGAGCAATCCCCAAAAAATAAGAATCTGGAACTAGACTTTTTAAGGAATTTGATAACAGTTTTAGGTAGAATAGAGCCACGAATCCAGTACCCAATAGAGTTTTGAATGGTAAACTTAAACCAACGAAAAAAGAAAGTTTTAAGGTTCAAATATTCTAATCAAATTTTGATTATGAAGAATTTATAAATTATTAAATTTATTTTAATATTAATATAATATTTAAGAAATCAATTAAAATTTACATTCCATTCATTTTATAATCTGGTGAAAACCGTTAAATCAATTTTAAATAAATCTATAATGAAAATATCTTAAGTTATTTTTTTCACTTTAAAAATATATAATTATCTTAAAGACGAATAGGGATAAAATATTTGTATCTTTAAAATGTTTTTTATTGAATATTAATATATTACATATGACAATAATGACGAGCCAACATTTACTTGTAGCCGGCCGATAGTTTGGTGATTTTCTTATGAAAAATTCTAAGAGAGTTAGTTAAATTATGTAACTCAACTTGATTGTCTGTTGTAAGCTTTGGCTATTAATCAATGGCGGAATCAAAATTATTTATTTGTGGGATATAAATTTCTAATTTGAAAAATACTGTCAAACTTTTTCATTTGAGTTGTAAATTGACATTAGGGTTTTTTTAAATATCTAACATAAGGTTTTCATATAATTTAAATAAAAAAATAATTAAAAATATTTTATAATGAGCAATGAATATATAAAAAAGCTGCATCTTATTACTATAAAAAGATATAAAAATTATAATTAGCATATTTTAAACTACTTGATTTAAATTTAAATATTGTAATATTTCTCTAGTGTAATTTGCTGGATTTAATTATATAAATTTCTTATAAAAGATAATTTAGAGATTTTAAAATAATTAAAAAAATTGATGAAATTTTTAATTTAAAAAAAAAACTAGTAATGTGAAGATAAATTATTAAAATGAGAAATATAAATGAAAATAAAAAAAAGTTTAAGGTGGTCTAATAAAAATCAACAAAAAAATAGCTAAAGATAACCTTATATAAATAATATTATATGACCTATTTCTAATAATAAAAGCAATTGTCCAGCGAACCACGCGAAGCCAAAAAAACGCCAAGCGCTGACGATTACACTGTTGCTCGCTGCTTTTTTCTTAGAATACTGAGAGCGACGCGAATACATTAACAACCACATAGGTACATTTGCATTAAAATAAGGCTATTTTATTAATTGTATCTCAATTCTCAACATAATTAAAATATAAAATAATTTAATTAAGCTATTAGATAAATATTTTTATATTCATCATGTACTAACTTTTTTTGTTAATATAAATAAAATATAATTAAAGCATTTGTAATTAAACTAGCATGGAACAAATTTAAAGTTAACATTCATTCATGGGAGGCTTTTTGATTAAGTTGTTTTATATTTTTTTAAAATAGGACTTAGGTTTCGTTTGCGACAGTTTTTTTTATTTTCTACATCAATTTTTAAGTACGAAAATTTCTTAAAAACAGTAAAAAAAAATCAGTCAAAAGATGTTCCGAATGAAGCCTAATAAAAGATGTTATAGAAGTTAAATAAACATTAACAAATTTTAATGTATATAATAGAAACATAAATATGAGTTTATTTTAATTTCAATTAAATATATATATTTAGCAAGATAAAAAATAAGAAAGTTATTATAAATTTGAGTTATATTCACAATTTTTGAAAGAATGATTAAATGGTATATACTATATAGCATGTTTGAAAAATTGTGTTGATATAGAGATAATTTTAAGTCCTAACTTTGTCATTCCTCTCAATTAGACAAGACTGGCTATAAATTGATCGAATCAACCTTAGTATTCTCTAATTGTAGTAGATATTGTTGGAAAATTATTGAAGGAATGATGATAGCGATCAAATGATATTGGCAAACAATGGTGATTGGATTATGATAGTTGGGCCATGTTCCTGCAATAGTGATCTGGTGTTAGTAGTCAGACGGTGGCCTAATGATAGTGAATAAACTATGAGCAGGCACATGTAATCATACGATATATGTTGCTGATGCTAATCGTTGGTATTGAATATCAAGTAAACAGCCAGGAATTTTCAAATCTTCAAGCTCTCTTCAAACCTTTTATTTTGGTCAAAAATTCCACATCATATGGAGAATAATATTTATTTATAATGTTTAGGGAATAACATTTTGATAAATTTAGTTAAAATTTCGCAACATGCCATTGTATAGGGCATATTGAGTCCTTTAATCTACATCATTCATTTAGCATTTAAGTGATTTAATGACTCTAAAATTGAATGATCTTAGGCTCAAATTTCATTATAACTCTACACTTCAAGTACTTGATTTGAGCTCATTTTTACTAAATCAGATCACGGTTGGTGCTATTGGATCCGTCTTGTCTTGTCACAACGAATTTTAACTATAAATTTGCTAAATTGGAGCACACATGATCTCAAATTTAATTTCAAAAGTTTTCAATATATATAACACATTAAGATTTGTGTCAATCAAAATGAAATTTTGAAATATCAAATATGAAATTGAGTTATGGTTTGTAAAAAAAATTCTGACTATATATATACAACACTGGTAAAATACGAGTTTGCAAGCTAAAGCATGAACCAATTCAATGGCTGCCATCCACTTGCAGACCAACTTGTCCCTTAATTAGAAGTAATCAAAGAAGAAGAGGTTCAATCCAACGTGTTTCAAGCTATTTTTCTTTAATTTCATGCTCAGAATAATTTTGTTTGTTTTGACTTTTCAGAAAGCGATTTAATTCTGTAAGGAATTTGCGTGGAAAAGCATTTTTCAGATTAGAAAGCCATGACATGAGCGACCACATCAATTTTCCACACAAACAATTAATTTTTTTCGAATCACACGCTTTATTTTGCATGCATTTAAAATATATTCCACGGAAATTCCTTGTAGAATTGTTAAAAATATATATAATGGAAAATATAAGATATTTATGTAATAGCTATAAATAAATTATTTAAAATAAGAGTTACCTATAATATTGTAAGCTTTTGAATGATATCAAAAATTCACATGATAAATTTTATCTTTAAAAATAAAATACCTATTTAAAAGATAAAATACATATTTTAATTAATATTTTTATTATTTGTGCTCATAGAAATTTCCACTATTCTAAAGGTGAAGTTTTGAAAATAAAATGAAATTAAAATCTTAATAAATAATTTATTATGTAGCAATTAAGACATACAAGATTTACATTTTAATATTATAATTCTAGTAAATACAAATGCCAATTAAAAAAATTATGATTTATCTTTTGATCAAAATATTATTAAGACTTAAATCAAACTAATTAAGGACATATTAAGGCAGCCTAAGTTTAAGACAACTTTATTGTTGTTTCTAAAATAATTTTTTGATACAAAACTTTTTTGTTCAAAAAATTTTTAACTAAAAAATTGTTTTAAGAGTATTAAGAAAATTGTAAGTTTTCTAATCATTTTGAAAATAATTTTATAAAATTTTTATCAACTAATGGCACCTATTTCCTTTTTCTTCTTCAATTTCCTCTCTTTCATACTCAAGAGTTGACAAATCATAATCAGGCATATAATCTTCTAGCATATGGCAATTAATTACTCCATTTGGCAAAGGTTTAAGCCATCATCAATGTTTGTTATTGTTTTGTCATCTTTTGTTTAGCGTTTTCTGCATCAACTTATGTTTAGTTAGCAAATTTGTTTTTAGTGGTGGTGGTTCCAAATAGTTTTTTTAGTTATTCATACACAAATCATATATTCAAGACTCAAATCCATGATCTCTAAGTTGGTAATCAAAGCTCCCAACCAACTGACCCAAAAAAATGAGCTATCTGCTAATTAGTTGGCTTCATGTGCTCCGCACAAATATAGCAAATTGAGGTATAATTCAAGCAAAAAAATGCCTTCCTTTTTTTTTTTTTTTGTAAAAATTCTTTTGGGTATGTACATTGGAGCTCTACATTGGATATCCATACCCACACCCACCCATATACCCAACTGTTAAGTAATAAGAACTAGGGGTGTCAATTTCGGGTCACGGGTCGGGTTGAACCCGAAATTGACCAGGCACTATTCGGGTTCGGGTCGACCCGACCCGTTTTTGTAAACGGGTTGATTTTCTGGATCCAAACCCGGCCCGCTTCGGGTTCGGATCAAACCGACCCGACCCGACCAGCAATTGACGGCTTGACGAGTAACTGGCTACACGATGCAGAACTGGTGCCTGACGCGAGGCTTTCGCGAGGAGAGGACGCGGACGGGACGCGGGGCGCGTGCGAGGTCGAGGGCGAGGCCACGCGGGGCGAGCATGAGGGCGCGGCCGCTCGGGGCGCGCTCAAGTGCGTGACACAAAACCTTACGCTAAACTGACGCAGGGGCAGCCGGGGCAAGGTCCTTCTGGAAGACGGTTTGTGTGTTTTTCCGGGTCAGTTCGAGTCATTCCCGGATCCCGGGTTTCCGGATCAACTCGAATCCGACCCGATCTTTCAAACGGGTCAGTTTTCTGGATCCGAACCCGACCGGCTTCGTGTTCGGGTCAACCCAAATCCAAAATTTTCTAGTCGAATTTTTGGGTCGGATCCAATATTGTCGGGTCTAATCAGAACAAAGAAAAAAACTGTTAAGTAATAAGAACAAAGAAATCGTGTTGTCCAGCTCTAACCTCGCCGTCTCTGGTCGCTCAGAGCCAGCTCAACCCGCGGCGGCATCCTAATCGTCGCATATAAAAACCGTCAACAGCCTCCTACTCCCTCTCCAGATTAAAAATACGCGGTAGGCTGCACCGAAGCTCTCTCATGGCGGAAATCTCCGCCTCATCTTCCTTCTCTTCTCTTCAACTCCCCACCTCGTTTCCTCCGCCTCTGGCGTCGGAGACTCGTTGCGACAACGACCTTCTAAGGTATCTCCTTCGGCTCTCCCACGAAATATCCCTCTTCGACGTCCCTTGCCCCATCCTCGGTCGTCTCTTCTCTTCCATCGCCCGCAAATCCAAGCTACTCGCCATCCTCTTCGACGAACTGCTCCAACAAGACACTTACACAGCAGCAGTCGAACTTCCCCGCCCGGCCTCTCTCTGCTTTCGTGAGATCCTCGTCGTTCTACAGCGATTCAAAGCCCTGTTCACCGACTGCTCCTCTCGTAGTCGCATGCGCCTCATTCTGTACTCTGATACACTCGCCAACGATTTCCACATGCTTGCCCTCGACCTGTCTACTCTCCTCAACATCCTCCCCCTCTCCGATCTCCGCCTCTCTGATGACGTTCGCGACCTCGTCGATCTCCTCCGCTCCCAATGTTGCAGATCGAGATCCACCGTCGATCCCGACGTCTCCAACCTCCGCCGCGAGATCCTCACCATCATTCACGAGATCGAGTGCGAGATCGTCCCAGAACGCTCTCGCCTCGCTGCCATCCTCCACAATCTTGGTCTCGATGACACCCAGAGCTGCCGCCGCGAGGTTGAATGCCTCGAGCGAGAAATTGGCGAACGGTTTTCGGAGAAATGGACGGCTGCGATGATCTCCCTTGTGGGAGTCGTGCAATACGCTAAGTGCGTGCTTTACGGCGCCTCCACTCCGAGGTCGGATTCCTCCGCTGGGAAGCTCTTCTTCACCAGCTACGATTCCGCCGGCGGTTCGCAGAATGGCGGTACCCCGCCGGATTTCCGATGCCCTATCTCCCTTGATCTGATGCGTGATCCAGTCGTCGTGGCGAGCGGGCAGACGTTCGATCGTGAATCAATCACCCGCTGGATTCGCTCTGGCCGCGCCACGTGTCCCAGTACCGGTCAGGCTCTGCGACACACTAATCTCATTCCTAACAGAGCTCTAAAGAACCTCATCTCCCGCTGGTGCCGTGAGCAGAACGTCCCCTTCGCTGTCGTCGCAGCCGGCGAACCTGCCGTTTCCGGCGGTATCGAGAACAAAGCCGCAGTGGAAGCTGCTAGGATGACCGCGGCATTCTTGGTCCAGAAGCTGTCTACATCTCCATCAACCGAGGCGGCGAACCGCATCGTCCACGAGCTCCGTCAGCTTGCCAAAACCCAGTCCGAGAACCGAGCCTTCATCGCCGAAGCAGGCGCGGTCCCTCTTCTCCTCCCCTTCCTCTGTTCCAACGATTCTACTTTACAGCTGAACGCCGTCACGACCCTTCTCAACCTTTCCATTTTCGAACCCAACAAGAGACGGATAATGCGTGCTGACGGAAGCATCGATGCCGTAATCCATGTTATGTCCAATGGGGAAGCCAGCTGGCAGGCAAAGGAAAATGCTGCAACTTTGCTTCTTAGCCTATCTTCAATGCATCCTTACCGGCGGCGGATTGGGGAGAACCACTCAGCCGTAGCGGAATTGGTGAAGCTCGTGCGGAATGGGCCTGCGAGCACGAAGAACGATGCTATGGCGGCCATCCTTAGCCTCGCTGGGGACCGTAAGATCGTTCCATTGTTGGTGGAAAAAGGCGTCTTGGAGGCGGCGCTTGATGCGTTTGCTATTGAAGAAGCGGCCGAAGCGGCGGCTGCAGTGATCGCAGGCATGGCAAAGCGCGGCGGAACGGTGGTAGTTGAGAAGTTGGAGATGGAGGGTGCAGTATCCAAACTGGTGGGAGTTCTCCGGCGAGGAACGGATAGTGCTCGGGACAATGCGGCAGCGGCGTTGGTGGTTTTGTGCCGTCAGTCGGTCGGCGGTGTGGTGGCGGAAGTGGCGAGTATGCCGGGGATTGAGAAAGTAATAAGGGAATTGATGGGGTACGGAACGGAGAGGGGGCGCCGTAAGGCAGCTACGCTGGGGAAGATTTGTCGGAGATGGGTTGCAGGGGGAGGTGGAGAGGATCTCAACGACGATCATGGCGATGGGATCAGGCCTGGTGGCGGTGGTGGCCTGTAGGACCTCAACTGATTTTGGGTTCGGAATCCCGGCTGGTGGCTTTGTACCATATGATTCCTTAGGAAATTGGTTTTTTTGGGGGGTAATTCCTTAGGTAATTGTTTTTTTTTTTGGGAAATCCTTAGGTAATTGTCAATATTTAGATTTTATTTTTTATTTTTCCCAATTCTTCATATAGATTTAATCCCAATTGGAAATTTTTTTTTGGGTTTTATTTGTTTATGAAAGCTTAATCTTGATGAAAAGAAGGGTGATTTCATATTATTATTATTATTATTATTATTATGTGAAGTGTTCTTATGTGATATGTCATTAAAAAAATTTCTCTTTAAACATGAAATTTGATATAATATTTGAATTAAAAATTTTTAGAATTAAATTCACTATCATTCTAATTATAATTTTGCTAATTTGTAGTTAAATTAAAAATTTTGGTAAAAATATAAGAGGAATCAAAAGTGATTATATTGGACTCCAAATTAGACCAAATCAAATGTTTGAAGTATTATATAAAATTTTATGGCCATTTTTACAAGAGAAATCTAATAAACTTAATATCACTCAATTATAATGTCAATAAGTTAATTATATGATCAAAGAATAGTTAATCAACATGGGTCATTTGATAGACTATTTTGTGATTTTTGGCTAAATTTAATGTCACACTCCCATAATCATAAATAGACTCATTTTCTTCATAAAAGGGGCTTGAATTTAAAGGGAGTTAGATATTTGAAGAATTTTAGAACCCTTAATTCTTGATGCTAATAATAACGTTAGCAAATGATGTTGTCAAACCACCATTGCTCGATCGTTGTCCTTCGACTATTAGTGACAGACCGTCGTAGCTTGTCGATCCAACAAATGTAGCTCGTTCGTTGTTGTTTAATCAAACATTATTTCCATTTTCATTCGACCACCATATTTAACTGTTGTCATCCATCCACCATCATCTAATTGTCATCATCCGATCACCATCATTCAACTATTATCATTTAACTGTCATAATTCGTTGTCGTCACCCTCTCGCCAACTCCTCTTGACATCATCCACTCTTCAATATTTCTCCAATATTCTTTGCAACCACAAGAGATCGAGTAAATGAATTTGTAATATTGTTTTCCTTTTTAAGGGGAAGGGAGAATTTATGCAACTTTGCTTACATATTACTTTATTTCAATTGGACCAGGTTCAATCGGTTGATAAGTTCATATCGATACTAAAAGATTATTTCAATCCACAGCTAATATAAAAATGATAAAATATTAAAAATTGAAGAGAGTTTTGAAGAAATTGATTGAGGAAAGAAAGAAAGAAAATAAAAAACCTTCTAAGTCATTTTATTATTTTTCATATTTGTAAATGAAACTGTTCTTGAGTTGATTAATCTTGCATTCTGGCTCAAATTATTTCAATCTGTAGTTATTTATCATGCTGATTTTAAAAAAAAAAAACGTTTCATTTGGGATAATTTTGGACAGTCTTTTCTTGTTGTTCAAAATATTTTCTTAATGAAAAATTGCTTTAGAAAGTACAAACAAGCCTTAACTTCTCATACCGCTTTACTTTACACCATGTATTCTAAGGGCATTCAACCGAAAAATCTATTTTCCACTTCAAAATATAATAAACTTGAAAATGTCAAAATTCATCTCCAATCAAACTGTCCTTCTTTCGTGTGCTTCCTACGAAGGTAGCAATCTATCTCCTCTTTCGTGCGCTTTTCTCCTCTTTCGCACTCGTCTTTGGCAAATTTGTCAACCCAATTTTTTGGCGTAGATGAATAGTCTTACGTCAATATTGACGTCACGCTGTTCACCTACTGAATTTTGACGAGAGATTTACAGTTTGAATGCAGCAAACGATGGACGACATATGATGATATGCAGTTCGTTTGAAAATGATCTAAAACAAAGATACTACTCTGCATCGCTCACTCTCTCTCTCTCTCTGAGACTACTTGCATGGTCTTGCCCTAATTGAAACTTTTTCCACAGTCCATGCATGCATGCAATCAACGCATACAAGGAACACAAAGGTTTGCAACAATTGGACCATTTGAGGTTACCCTCTTCTAACTGGATGATATTGATGCTGTTCAGGGTCGTTGTACAGCAAGATATGGCCATTTCATCTTCCAGTTTAAAATTTTCTGGTTCCTTGGACCAGATATTGTATGGATCAATCGAATAACTTCAGCCTGGACGATAGTGCAAACCAAGCTTCACTCTTCTGAACAGATTTCGCATTAGTTATTTCTATTATACCGGCTATGATAAATGTCTGCTTGTTAGCTAGTAAAACATTAATTTGTTGATGAAAGATGCATCACAGAGCAGGTTGCAGAAGGAAGATCCAAAGAAGCTTGTCAAAGCAAGTTGATTAGATGAGGCCAAACAATGCTTACCAAAATAAGTATAATATTGGTCTGATCCTGAATAGCTCTCTAATAGGACGTTGATCAACTTTTGGGTGTTTAAATCATTTTAAATAAATTAATGTATTATCATCTTAAACTTGTTTTAGCAGGCAAGCACATTTTGCTAATGCAAAATAAAAGATTCTACGAGGAACCATATGTTTTAGTCATTTATCCTGGAGAGTAAAATTATAAATAGAAAACCCTAAAAGAAAATTACGCACATTCATTCTTTAATGAAGAAGATGATTAATATAATGACACAAACTAAATAGTAGTGCAACATACGTACCTGTCTTTGGTTTGTTCGTTGGGAGTTGGGCTCTTAACTAAGAGGTTTTGAGTTTGAGTCTCATATCGTATGTGTTGTGTGTGTTTGTATTTGGGTGTTGCCCCTGATATCCTCTTGGAGAATAAGGGAATGAGGTTTCTACACGAATATGTTCGCACTAAGTGATGCCTTCCAAAGATAATTATATATATATTCCTTTTATTTTTATAGTAATCATTGTCACCATAGAACACTTGATAGGTATATGCCTATCAATTTTATCACTCATATGTCAATATAGTAGTTTCATACTCGCTGGCTTGATCTACTAAAGTCATTGGGTTGACCCCCACCTTTAGGTTTAGGATTCCATTAAGTTGATCATTAAAATTCCCAACACAATGTCTTCCTGCTAGTGACAAATATTCCATGGGGTGAGTTGAAAAGAGCCTAAAATGGTCCCATTTTAGATAATACATATCTCACTAGTTTTGATGTAAGTATATGAGTCAAGGCATGCTTGATTGGGCATAAGAGCCTCCTCCATCTATTTATTGTCTATTAAATCAACTATTAGTCCTTTTAAATATAATAGTTACAACAACATATATGTTGGATAGTGCTATGCACTGCTAACAAGCAAATTAAGTGGGGGGCCACCCCTCCTAAACAAAATTGGAACACCTAATAATAGTTTGGCAATGACCCAACATATTCCACATCGGTCGCGCCACCTTCATTATCGTCGTAATGAACTCTGGCCTCAACAACTACACAATTTTTCCAATGTGCCAAAGTGTAGTAATTGTTAGATCTATTATGATTGAACAAGCCCTCTCGACCAATTGAGTCCATCTAGATCCATTTCGGCTAAGTGAAAATCCGCCACCAGACAATTGACTTAAAAAAATTTTTAAAAAAATTTCTAAGCCCCAGCTTTAGGGCCCCTACTTTGATGCCAATTTGTTATATTGGAACCTCGCACCTAATCAACTTGTCATTAAAAGAGTTGCTTCATATTATGATGGGCATTTGTTGCCAAACATCTACTATGACATCTCAAGAACATTCAAGTTTTCCACTATTCACTAACAACCTAGGTCCGTTTGGGTAGGGGTTTTAATATTAGCGGACACAACCCAAAAATCATTCTTAAACCCAACACAAAAATTTTGGGTTCGGGTCAACACGAGGGTTAGAGATTTCGAACCGTTTGCAAAAATGTGTCGGGTTCGGGTTGACCCGGAAATCCAAAATCAACCCGGTTTGACTCAGACAATTTGTTTCCTACTCTTTGTCCGTCCAGTTGAGTCCATCCAATCGTTGGGTCAACTGGTCAAGCAGTCACGTCCGCGTCCAATCGGGTCCACTCAAACAGTCTCGCATCCTACTCAGGCTATTATAGGGCATAGTCGCAACCCGCATAGCCGCATTGGGTCGTGAGGTCGTCGGGTCAAGCAGTCGGGTCCCGACCATCAAGTGTCTCAACGTCTCACTCCTAGTCTCCCATGCACCACAAGTCCGCGACACTAATCTGCTCATAGGGTCGCCGGTCGTCCGCCATCCCTACCTTAGCCGTTTGCTAGCCAGTAAACATCCGCATCCAGTCAGGTCCGAACTGCCGTCTCTAACTTTGCGCGCTCTTCAGCCAAACCCCATAAATCTGTGTCAGGTTGGGTTGACCCGAAACCCGAAGCGAACCGGATTCGGGTCCCAAAAATTGATCCGTTTGTGCAAACAGGTCGTGTTGACCCGAACCCGAATAATGTCGAGTCAGTTCTGGGTTCAACCCGAACCCAACCAATGACCCGAAATTGACACCCCTACATTTGGGATAGCTTTAATTTCTTTGCTTTCCAACAATTAGTAACTATAATATTTGGCTACACTTTTTTTTATTATTTTTATATTTATTTTTTCGATAAACAAATTGCTTACAATTAGATACATCAGAGTGTGATAATTATAAGAAAATTATTATCTATTTTTTGTTAAAAAAATTATTTTTCTAATAATAATCTTATAATTATTTTAACACTTACAGAGCCCCCTCAAACTGGTATATATATTGATCATATTCAAAGGTCAACAGATGTATTATGGTAGCGAGCCGTTATTATCTTGATATATTAGCTAAGTAATTAGCTGCCCGTTTACATTAGTAAGTTAATGAACCGGTCAAATCTTAATTAATCCCCACCTTTGACTCATTATTATAACTTTGCACGCGATTTGGACCAAAGCTGGCATGCGCTGCACCAGATGGCTTTATTTTGCTTAAAATTTAGTCGGCCTCCAAATAATTCTTCCAAAGTTTTATCAATATAAAGTTATTCACAATTACTCAGATACAAATTGTGATACCCCAAAATCTAATTTAGAAAAATTATTCTTATCTTTTAATATATAATACCAGAGTTATCTAATATCATCTATCAGTATTAAATAACAAAATAGATTATATAATTTAAAACATCAATATACACATCTATAATCATTCCTAAAAATTATATACACTACTCATGACTATAACAAAAAAAATAGAACATAAAGAATCTTGATCAGCCTCACACTCCCTGCTCTCCTGCTCTGACTTGAAACTATTTAATTACATATAATGAGCTTTAAAAGTCCAACATGTCACCAAAATCTACAACAGAATTCAAAGCATGATAAAGGAGCAATATGCACATCAACAATCAAATTATAGCAGTTGCATTCATATGATAATTGAATCATTACATAAATAATAAAATTCATATGTATTAGTAGTAGAATCTATAACCAATAAAACACTAGAGTACAAAAGCAATAAAGTAGTAAACAAATATAAGTGTCAAATCTATAAAGCAATCATTGTATTCGTAATATCAATTAGTAAATAAATAGTATAAAGTATCTAATCAAAATATCAGTAAAGACCGTAAAAATTGAATCAATGCAGTAAAATTATATCAGAATGTACATATGTTATTCAATTATTCTATATCACGTGCTCGATATATCACATGCTTCATATTAGTATAGTGAATCATGAGTGTCAAATAGTATCAGCATATATATCAGTAATAATAATGACAGTAAAGATGGTGGCCGCCGCGGGTCGTTAAGGAAACCCTTGAGCGATGTTAAATGTTCAAGCTCAAATTGAGCAAGAACAATTTACCTAAAATAGTATACAATGTATTTACTTTATTTTATCTTGGATTTGCTTTTTATCAAACCAAACACCAAAAATAAAAAATTTAATGCATTTACTTTTCTTCCAACTAAATAACCCCTAAAATCGAATACATTGCATTTATTTTACTTTATCTTGCATTTGCTTTACACCCGACCAAACACCAAAATGTAAAAATAATAAAGAGTCAATTACTTTATTTTGGATTCACTTTTCTTCCAACCAAAATGCCCCTTAGGGCATCTCCAATTGAATGGCATTCGCTAAAGCATTTTTGCTTGCTATCTTGGCTTTGAACTATACGATGCCAATATTGACATCACACTATTCAAATAAATATATTTTTTTTATGTAGAAAAATAAATATTAGAAATGGAGATGAGAAAAAATATACACAAAATATTCTTTTTTGTGTTAGAAATAGAGTTCACTTGAAGATGAATTACTATTTAACATGATTGTTAGTTGGAGATGCCCTTATTTTAAGGCTGTAGCCCACTCAAACTACTTTGTCAAAGATTTTGCTTTTTTTCTCTTATAAAAATAAAATAAAATAAAATTCTAAGCAAAGTTCATGAAAATAAATTTAATTATTATTAAGTTTGTACAAATAATTATCCTTATCTTTTCAAAAAGTAATTAAGCTTTCGATTTTGATAAGCATATTTTTTAAAAATACTAGCTTATATTTGTATGAATATATAAATTTAAATTAAAGCTCATTAAAATAGTTGTAGTTTTCATTAATTTAATAATCATGATTAAGTTATCCTAATAGCAAATTAGCACACATTTATGTACTGTTATAATTAATACGATGACGAGTTAAGGAAATTAATGAATTGATATAAATGGAATCATTTAGTTTTCTTAGTTTATGGTATTGAACACTTAATCTTTTTTTATGAGCTAAATGACTTAATTATATTAATTTAAAGCTTAAGTCTATCATCAATATATATATAATTTGGCTTATTTTAATTTTGTCTAAGTAAATAACAAATAATTTATTATAATATTAAAAAGTCATAAAAATAAGCATAAATTGCCAAAAAAAAATGTTGGAAAGAAAAGCACGCAAAACAACAAATAAGAAAAGAAATTGCAACGAAGAAGAAATAACATCGAGATTTAATGTGAAAATTTCTAAAATCGAAAAAAAAAATCATTAAGCCACAACACACCAAAAAAAATCACTATGAAATGGGAGAAATTGCAGGGATCTCTATCTCTCACTTTCTCCTTGTATCTCCTGTTGATTCAGAAAGATTTTCATATCTAAATTAGCCTTATTTTAAAAGGCTTTAATGACTCATTATTGAAATTAATTAGTGAATAGATTATTTTCTTAATTATGTTGATTTGGTTGGAAATTTGATTGATGCATTAATTAGAGATCTAATTATTATATTAATTAAGGATTTGATTGGGGATTTGATTCATACACTTATTAAGAGATCTAATTATTATATTAGTTAGGGATGTGATTGGGATTTGATTAGGACTAAATTAAGAAACTTTTTTCTAATTTATTTTGGCTCCAATTTATAAATAGAGCTTTAGGGGTATTGTAATGAGATAAGAGAGCTTGAAAGTATTGTAATCCCTATTTTTTTTCTCTATTATAGTGAAATCTTCATCCCCTACGAGTGGATGTAGGCATCTTTGCCGAACCACGTAAATCATCGTGTTCTTTGTGTAGTTTTGTTGTGTGATTTTATTTCCGCTGCGACTATTTACACAACATCTCTTCAATTTTCACATCATTCTATACTCAAAACTAACAAAAAGACACACTTCAACAATATAAGAGGACGTAACCTTTAAAGTTAAACATACAAAATGAGAAAAAAACTACACAGTCCAACTCATAGCTCCATGGCGCTAGGGTTTGGAGCACCTCAATGCTCCACTATCTGTCTCTAGCTTGACTAGTAGCACCGAACATGTAGCACCGTGACGTTGGCTTTGGAGTGTCGAAGTGCTCTACTATTTGTCTCCAACTTAAGATTGCATTGCCGCCACGCTACATCCTAGGCTGTTGCAATGCACAAATATATAGTACTGCGGCGCTATGATGTTTGAACATAACCAAAATTTGTCGACAGTATACTAAAAATGATTTCAGAAAGTTCAATCCTTTAGCATATTGAACAGAACCAAAATCTTTTCGTTTAATTTATTTGATTATCTAAATTTATAAAAATAGTAACTTCCATACTAATGAGCACGAGGCCTATAAACATATAAAAACAAAACCAAGAAATAACAAAATAAAAAACAAAGAATAAAACAAAAAATGGCATGGGGACCACTCCCTTTGGAAATATCTAAATCAAAATCAACATAGATTTTCCCCTTCGGTATTTCCTCCTCTTTCTGCAATTGGCTTAAAATTTGATTAAATTATTTTTTTTATTTTTTATTTAGATAAAATTAATTGATGTTATTATTTTTTATTTCTATTTCGCAATCTTCTAAATTTGAGCATTTTGCTTATAATTCTAAATAATTACGTTAGATTTCCTGCTTTTGATCTCCTCTCTATTTCTCTCTGTCTCTCCAATGGCTTCAGCTCACCAATCCATCTCCATCCTTATCATCACCCTCTTCCTCTTCACCGCTTATCATCCATGCGCCGTCCGGCCAACCACCAGCTTACACGCTTCTCCAAGTCCCACGCCGGCGATGTCCTCAGCATCAAAGCCGACGGCTGCGGCTGAGATATACCAGCCACTCCTCCTTAACGTCCTCCCAAGAGGAAGCTTTTATCATTCTGGCCCTAGCAGTGGAACTAATGAGTATGATGGTAATTAGTTATATATGTTAAAGGTTAATTGTTGATTAATGAATCGTGTGAAGATTTTAATTTGTTCTTAATTATCTATTATGTGTGTGTGAGAGAGAGAGATTGGATAATGTATAGCTGAGCTATTTATATTTGAAATATTAAAAAAAAGTTGTTGTTGTTAAGCCTCAATTTATGTAAAAATGAGTGAGTTTTATGAGTATGGAAATTATTAATATTTATGTTAATTTTGTTATTTATTTCTTAATTATTATTATTTTCTACAGAGCAAAATCTGACTATGCATAGAATTTATTAGAAATAAATAGAGATGTCCACACAAAGATGAAAGAATTATTAGATAAATGTAACTCATAATTTGTTTTTCTTTTAAATTATATATATTTTTACAGTCTGTATAATTGTATATCATTCTATTTAAATGCTATGATAAAAATTCAATATTTAAACTAAATAATATATATATATATACCATGTCACACAATGCACAATACATTGAATGATATGACACGTCTGGATTGACCTCCGGACGCATTCGAATACCGCACATATTAATCTATCATTACGCCCTATTATATATAAATTATCTTATGTCTTATTTTCAATTAATAAATAATTTGGTATAGATTTCTATCATTTTAATCTATATATAAGATAAAAACAATAAAAATGTTATATTTAGTTACAATTTTAAATTAAAAAAAAAATAATACTTTTTGGGATAAAAAATATTTTCATCAATTAAGGATAAATGTTGACTCAATTTCACATATCATTAAAACTCAAATGAAATTTTTCAAAAGAAAAAAAAAAAGGAAAAAGATTTGAAACATTACATAAACTATGAATTTTAAAAATTTGCATATGTAATAGAGAAATCAACTTCTTAAAGCTATTATACAAAACTTTTTTTCTAATACAAAAACTTTTTGAAAACAATAAAAAAACTTTGACAAAAAATATATAATTATTGTCTGATAGACAAAATAGTAAGAAAACTAACCTAAATGAAGCCTAGACTGATGACTACGGCTTCATTTGACACGACTTTCTTACGGCTTCTTAAAACAATTTTTTAGCACAAAAAATTAAATTTTTATATAAAAAACCGTTTTACGCAGCAATAAGAAAGCCATCCCAAACGAAGTATACAACATCTGCATCAACCAAAGAACGCATAGATTTTCGTCTCTATTTATCCATAACGCTAGATTTACAACTACTAAAATATTTGAGAAATTTTTTATCATTTTACAAGTAAAAAAAAAAGGATAACAACAGCATCAACGAACATTACAGTAGCTTGAGGCCTTGCAGATAGATACATTTCCAAGCAAAACAGTAATATTACAATGTATAAAGATGACAACATCCCCCAATCAGTTTCAGGCCTAAAAACAACAAAACTAAAAGCAGAAGGTTAGTCGCCACCAACCCAACGGGCAAAAATTAGCTGGGAGGAAAAAGAATCACTTTTTACCTACTTCTAACCCAAGTTAGCATGGGCGATTGAGGGGTTGATTCTTATTAGAACTTAGAAAAAAAATTTAAAAAGAATGAAAGAATCCCATTTCTTTACATCAGACTGCAAATATGACCAAAAGTTAGCCTCTCTTTGCCTGCCTTCTCTCTCTACGTGATGGCGGAAATCTGCCTGACAGCTTGGGGAAATCTTCTTCATCTTTCAGCTGGTAAGGCTCTGACGAACTGCCCCTGCATGTTCAAAATAAGCAATCGAGAAAATATTTAATCGGTCTGTGATGATAAGAAACAAAATTATATCATGTTGCAGAACGGCAAAAGAGTGAAGAACACCATTAGATCCAGATGAAATCTGAGAACAGATATGGTTTTTTTACCTTCCAGTATCAGAGCTCATGGCTGGTCTCTGAGAACTTGATGCAGGGCTTGTAAATCCAGAGCCCCGACTAAGAGAAATGGGAGAATCCGATTTACTGCCCTGTTCTTTTGTAGGAGTTTCTACTGAAACAGAGCCAAAAGAACCAAATTTAAGCGTACTAAACTCGGTTCCACTTGCATTAGGTGATGCACTGGAAGCATGTGGTGATGGCGACTGGGGTACATCCAATAGCTGCTCTCTGTTCTTCTGATAATCCTACAAAGCACATGAAATGGAGATTAGAATACCCAAATTCTCAATGAGAGAAACACCATGATCTAGTTATGCTAAATGAACGCTTTTTTATGTCTTGAACAACTCATTCAGCAATGTCACCAAGGTTGTGAAAACCGGACCAGAAATAAAATCGGAAGGAGTTCAGGATTCAATGGTTCAACTAGGGTCAACTGAAGTTGAACCAGATGACATAATAAATATGAAAATTATGTTGACCTCTTTGTATACAAATGCAAAAAAAAATAATCCGAAAAATATCATACTTTTTCGGTGCCGCATGAACTCCGCACGTCGAAATCCTGCATATCTTGTGATTCGAGCATCCATACAAATCTCTGCGCATTTGACGTTGCATCTTCCACGATCTCTGCACGACTTGTCATCCTGCCTACGTCGTTAAAACGAGAGGAAATGAAACATTCTCCTTTTCTATTCTCCCTCTCAATCAAAGCCTCCCGATATCCCTTCCTCCCCTCTGTCAACCTGACCTACTCCTTCCTCAATGTTGAAGTCACGCTTCACATTCCACAAGTTCTCGGTCTCCAAGCCCTAACTCAACGACCGAGCCTTTGCCCCCATCCACCTCTACCTAATGATCTCCCTGCCCGTAGTTGTCCGACCCCTACAATTCCGACCTCGAACTCACCACAGCCTCCCGTCTATAGCTCGATTGATCATCCATGGATGACGCAAGCCGACTATGATCCCACCTCCACTGTGTTGATCGACACAGACAAAGCCACCTCCTTCGATGACGTTTCCTTCTGTTGGATCGGAATCAACGACAAGAACTTGCTCGTTGCGAAGGCAGCCATCTTTCTTCCCTTCGCGTGTTTCTTCGGCTAAATCCTATAGGGATTTACGACAGAAAGTGGAAAACAGAGGATTTAACGTGTTGTGAGTATTAACAGTTCCTTGAAATCCTATAACTTAAAACCACGCTGTGGATTCCGCAGCTAAATGACACCACATGTAAACGGTTATGATCGGGACCCCTGACCAGGTGATTTTGCCATCAAATGGCACCATTATACTATGATTATGGTTACAGCTCTTATGCTCCCCAATAGTATTAAATCCTTGAGATATTAATCAATAGGATATAATCGACCGGGCACAAAGCCCTCTGTTAGTTAAGGTGTATTCAAATTTGTCCCCTTAGACAAATATTCACCCTAGGTCAAGATACCCTTGGATGAAGCAACTCATGGCTGCCGACAAGGATCCTTCTGTTAAGTTGGGTCGACTACCTCCTCTGACTAAGTAGACTAGGGACCATGATGGTCCGAGACGACGAAACTATATGATCTTTAACGGGTTCATCACAATTCCCCCACCATCCGCCTTAAGTGCAAGATGGTGAAATTTTCAATTTTAAATATTAATTTTCAATAACTAAACCCATGCTGCTACTATATGTTAGATATATATTACGCATCTGATCAACGAATAGCCTTAATTGAAAGTTCTCTCTCGTGATCGAGAGGGGTAATTAACCATAGGGGCTTGTGCCTATAGGAAATCAGAACTCAAATTATAAAGACCTCACAAAATGAGGGCGAAATCTCTGGGTAGTGCCTTATTTTAAACCTAATATGCCTTTTGAAAATCAATTATGAAACTTCCTTTTAGTAATGTTTATATTTTATATTTCCTTTTGAGTTTGGATGGGATAAGAACTTACATGGAGTGATGGAGCCATGTGACATGCTTAATGGGAATTTTTTTATTTAAAAATTAAGCATTTTAAATTTAAATTAATTTGTTAAATTATAAATATTATTTAATATTTTATTCCTAATATAATAGCTTAATTTATTTAATTATTTCAAATTTTAGAAATTAAATCAATCAGTTCAAGGGAATCATGATCGGTTCACCAGTTCGCTGGTTGGAACCAGTGGTTCTGACTAGCTCATCCTGATTTGACACAAAACTAATTTTTAGGATAAACCAGACCGCCCTTAAGACTAGTTCACGGTTGAACCGATCAAATCGACTAGTACGATCCGGTCCAGTTTTAAAAACCCTAGATGTCAGACCAGCAAATTAAGCATTTGAATTTGCCCAGACTAACTTGCGCCCAAAATTTGGGTATGCAAATGTATATAAGAACCGTTTATTAAACGCCTAGAATTGCTTCCAAACACATTGGAAGAGGGCAGTTAAAATATAATAAAATAACCATATGTGATCAAATAAAAAATAAACATGACAAGCAAAACTAACAAAGGCATCCACATTCTACTAAAATAAAATTGAAAAAAGAAAATATAAGACACAAATAAATACTAAAAAAAAGAATACCAAATAACATGTTGAGAAAAAAAAGACGTTATTCAAATGAGCCCAAGGAATGAAATATACCAATTTGGGAAGAAATGTGCCAGTTCCCTTGCGCCTGCGTGCATCATCGATGTTATAAATATTGGGTATAACTGGAAGATTCATTGGGTAGTAGGCAGCCGGAAAAAGGAGCGGCGGCCCGGGTGATAAGGGAACTGTAAACTGACTGCCATCAGTCCATACATCCTTGCCATGGCCGTAGTAAGAGTATGGGGGTGACTGATACATCGGTACGAACTTAGTGTTCGTCTTTTTCTCTTGGTACCACACAGCATAATTAAGATTATCCAAGTGCGTATCAAAATCTCCGGATAGATCTAACAATTCATCAAGTAAAGAAAAAGGCTCATCAATGCGGTTTCCTAAATTTCCTTCCGGGCCATAGTCTACTAAGTTTAGACGTTCAGACGGGTGATCTTCACCAATGTTGCCAACCAAGCCAGTATTGCTCAATGATGAATCCATCTCAAAGGAATCAGGTTGCGTTGAAATAATAGTTGAAGGAACATTAAAAGTTGGGCCCAAAGTTGTTGAATTAACTTGATCAAGCTTTACATCCTTTCTAATTTGACTTTCTGGATTGAAAAGCAGGTGGGGTGCATGATCAGAATGCCTGACATCCAAAATACTTTCTTCCTCGGTTGACGATGCAGTCGGGAGACTTTCTGTCATGCTTGTTAAAACAGAGGTTGTTGAAGTGACGGGATCTTTGGCATCACTAGTTGTGCTATCTTGCTGCTTATCAGAGAATGTTTTTTGCGGTGCAACCATGCCTTCAGACTCATCCAAGTCCGAAATTCTGACGTTTTTCAACTCCTTGTTTAAATCTCTATACCCCTTCGAAGTTGGAGATTCTGAGCTCAACTCATCTGCATTCTCTTTTTCTAGCTTTTCTACGGGCTGCGCAAGTTCCACATCCATTGATTCAACCAATGCACTGCGTCGCAATCTAGAAGACAAATACTGCACATCAGGCCTTTCTCCACCTCCATTTTTATCCAGTGTACTCCTAAAGAACATGTAGATTTCATCTTGAATACTAGAAGCAGGTAGCAGTAGTAAATGTCCAAGCTTCCGAGCACCATATGCCAAGGCACTACGAATTCGGAAGAAGCCACCTGTGCGTAGTAGAAATGAACATTAATCTATAACTCTGATTCCTTCAGAAAAAGAAAAATAGATGACGAAGTAATACCAAGGAGAGGAAAGGAAGAAAACCAAACCTAAACTAACACTGCGCCCAAGATTATTGTTTGATCGCAATGGATCTACAATGTTCAAGTGTTTCCTAGTAAAAGGTCGGGAATTGGCTTCCGAACCCCGCACTGGTACAGAAAAGGAATCTGCACAACTTCTGAGAAACTCCTCAGTCAGTAATAGGTCACCACCATAATTATCAGACGATTCCACTGTGAGAAGGAGATCAAAAATGAAAAGGAGAAAATTGGAGGAGGGATTTGATCCTCATTTCACAAACTAAGGCAAGAGGCATCACCAGGGTGCTCATGTCAGAACTGGCTGAGGTCAATAGCAAAAGGCATGATACGCACCTGATAGTTGTGTAAGAGACGATAAAGAAAGAGGACCACGTAGACTGATGCAGTACTTTTCCCAATCAAATTTGCTGTAATAGTACAAAAATCTATATAGCACCTGAGAAATCATAGCTGTTACCGGAGGTCATTAACAAGCAACAAATTTGAATATCTTGAGCTATGCTTCTAAAAACCAAGAGAGAACTCACCACTATAGGACCATCCAAGGATGAATTGAAGAGATGGAAAATGTACAAGATCAATGTTTCGAGAGCATAAGTAGAAAGTAGGCCATATTGAGAACCAAGAATGTGACTCTCATGATAACACCAAGCTTTAATTAATAAAATGCTGCGCTTAAACAGATGATCCTTTCCAATAAAGCGATCAACCTAAAGAAAAAACCGTGTTTCAATCCATTTCCTTAGTAAAATCTATGAACAGAAAAGCAGGAAAACTGTTCCATAGATATTTTTCTCAAAATTAATGAGCAGTAAACTCCTGATGCTGTTATAAAATTGAAGTCTTAGTTTAGCAACTGATTGAAGGAGATATATATTATGAGCCAAACACTTACCTGTTCAAAAAAACAAAGTGTACTCAATCCACCAATCTGATTGAAGGAGATATCTATCGAAATATTCCGAACTAAGCATTTAACAAGTTTAACCTGCAATTCGAAATTTAATGTTCAACCAAGGCCCTCCGCACCAAGGTTGTGGTGACAAGAAAAGTTTCAAATTTGGTTCAGTAAATAGAAAAATAAGCAAGCTTTTAAGATGGTATCGAAGAATCTATGTAGCCCCAGAATAAATAAGTTCAGTGAAAATATGGGAATTGCTAGATGGCTGCATTTGAAATAAAAGGCTAAAATGATTTAATATACTAGTGTATGGAAGCATATACACCATTGAATCAAACTTGATTAAAATAAATACACGCAAAAGATTCCCAAATATATAATTACATAGGAAAAAAGAAAAAGTTTTCACAAAAAACTAAAAATATCCCTTGTACAAAAAGATGACCTTTCCAAGAACTCTTCAAGTCTTTCACTTAAAATATTTTTTAACATGCCTCATACCCCTATTTATGATCATATAACAGGAAGAAAATTCCCCATAATCAACCTTAAAAAGAAAGATGCACAAGAAAGAGAGACAACAACAAAAATTGAAGACTTGGTCACTACAATTGCCAAAGCCAAATAAATAAGAGAAAATCCTTAAAAGTCACCAGAGGTAACCACTAACAAAAATAGATAGAAGGACGCCACCTAAGGAGTTGGCAAACACAAAGTCCCAAGAGGTCATTGAATAGAGAATCGAATAACACTCAATCAATGGGAACAAAGAATCTAAAAATAGAGAACCCAGTAAAATAATTGTTGAAGTAATTCACAAAAGGTTTTTTTTTTTCTTACATTGTCATTCCTTATGCCTCATCCCAGCCTCATCCCAACAAACAATTCTTTTCAAAACTAACCACTCCTGCCCAAATCAAGCCTATGCCAGATCCACTTATTATTGAGTCATTATATGTTTACTTATGTCTATTTGAGCAAAAGATATCTCAATCTATGCAAGTTTCAATCAACCAAATCAATCTCTATAATTGAATCTGCTAAGAGAATAATTAAGCGAACACAATAATATGAATATGAGACACATCAATTATTAAAAATATATGACACAGATACATCTTGAACAAAAAATTGTAATTTTTAAATAATAGTACATAAAAATTAAATAAGCATAATATTAAGAATAATAAAGAAATAATAAGTCGTTGAGTTTTAACATTAACTTTATAAAGCTAAATGGTCCATAATTAATTGTCAGGCTATGATATCAAAAAAATAAACATAATCTTTATAGCATAACATCAAGATTCAATATTTAATAGTCAACTATTCACTAAAAGGAATAAAATTAGATTCTTCATCATGTGTTTTTGGCCTTCAATATCATCATTATTAAATAACAGTACTTCCAATTATGGATCGTCAAGATATAGATTTAAAATATTTAAAATTTCCATATCGTTAAGAGACTCAAAGCCATCTCATGTAATATCACAAATCTTGTTATCATCTTCCATATAAATTGGAGTATTTCTTAATAGAAGATGAAGATTTGTAGGCATAAAACTAAATCTTCAACCCATTTTGTTGTAATATTATTCCTACACATTGGTTGAATGCTGCTCTAATTTCTCTCACAATACGAGGAGGAAACTAGGCTAACAAGTTCTATGGTAATTCTTTGAAGTAGGGGTGTTGAATCTCCATGAATCAACCATTGCACCTTTGGATCCATCCTCCACCTATCATGCAAAGATTCTTGATCTCCAAAATCCTCTAGATATCCAAAAAATTTAGCAAGCTCTAGTCATCATTCATCTCTTCTCCTTATTTAGTAGATAATATTTCAAACACTCATTTCTCATATTTGAAATTTCTAAATCATTTTATATGGAAACATGTTGAGAATCCTCTAAAAATCATTCTTTACTTAAATATCATTTAAAAATATAAAAAATAAAATTAATAAATTACTATTTTACGAAATGGGAATTATTTATAAAAAATATATCAAAATTTATCCTAGAATTAACGAATGAGCCATGCAATGTAGAGGCATTTCATTTTTTGCTCCACTTATCCTCCAAAATAGTATAAAGAACACTCCAAAAACTTGAATCTTTATCATTTAACTTTATTTTATGCTATATATTATTTCTTTTATATTTATATATTGCTTCTTTCACTTTAGCTAGCATTGAATCTCATATCTCATAAATCAAGTGTAAACAAGATTTACCTATGTCTACATCTCTAAATGGCTTCCCTAAATGCAAAATCTTTTCTTTCCTTGAGCTCATATCCTTCCATCATAAACGAGCGTGTACTAATATTAGCATCATCAGCTCAAATAGAATAAAAAGAAAGAAGACATGAATGAGTAATATACTAATAGGTAATGCTATCTCTTTAAGGAGAGCCATTTTGATCCCTACCTCATCTTTGTTAACTTATTTTTGCATTTCATTCAACAGTGAAGCACAAAATTTTGGGACAAATTTTAACTCTATGACTAATAATCTTTAGCAAATAGGCTTTCACTCTAAAATACAACATTACAATAATTATATTTGAATGCAATATTTATGACATTCATGTATATGTTCAAAAAAAAAATATTTGAATGCAATATTCCTTCACATTTAGAAGATTTTTCCAATTTAGTAAATAGCTAATTATCCTTCTATTGAATATTTTAAAATCATCATAAATTCTTAAATTTAAATTATTAAAGCATTGAAAATAGAAAAAATGCATGTTTTTTCATAGCAAAGAACAAATGAAGATAAAAAAAGAATGGCTAAAACTATAACTAGTTTTTTCCTTCTACTTTCCCTAAAACCTTTTCCCTTTCTCTCATTATTTTTTGAAGCCACTTGTCTATTTGTCTCAATAAAAAAAGAATGCTTCCGGTCATTAATTAATAAAAGATTGGGACTCCACTATTGTTTCATGGTGTTACAAACGAACCAAGTGTTCGAAGAGCTATTTGTGGCTCGACTCGATTAAATCTCGTTCTTAATCATTTAATCCATTAAGCAAACAAGCTTGAATATTTTTTAAAATGCTTGATACTTAAATAAATAAGTTGAACAACTATGTTCGATTCATTTATGTACATGAACAACATCATTTAAAACTTGTGAATAAACTCGACATAGAGTTAGATTCTTGTTCAATACAAAGCTCATGAATAAGATCATTAAAAACTCAATTAAAGTTTGATTATAAAAATGATGAACATATCTAATATAAATATTTTATATTATTGCAATTATTATTCTACCAACTCATCAATTTGTGGACTATTGTAATTATTCTATAATTATTATTTTGGAATTTCACATATTTCATATTAAAAAAATCTCTTACGACTGTATAAATAGTACACAGATAATGGAATGAATTATTCAACAAATTTTCTCAAATTTTTGTCAATGAAAATGAAAAGAGCATTGCTAACATTGACAAAAATATTGACTTGAGTGAACCACTATTTCACTATGATTGAAAACTGAAAAGAGAAATAAAATGGAGTTGGAGCATTAAAGAAGTTGAAAGATAATTGAATTATAGTGGATTAGCTGGTTGTGTTATTAATTTGTTACTTCATTTAAATTTCTATTGAATACAACGTTAATTGATATATGAAATAAGAAGAAATTGATAGTGACAAGATGTTGAAAATGATGAGAAAAATAAATCAATGGACAATAGACTTATTACATATAATAATTTTTCAGAAAATGCTGAAAGTAAATAAGAGGACAATCCAGACTAATCCTAATGTTGTATTTAAGTCTTAATTGAGGCCTTAAACTAAAGTTAGTTTCACTTGAGAATTAAGAGAGATTAGAATTTAATACTGAGATTAGTTTTATTTTTCTTATTGTCTATTTTTATAGTTTAACATGATGACTAAAGTTAATTTGTTCAAGGTTTATGCCTCAATCCATCAGCTCACACCTCACCTCGATAAAATAAATCATCTTTGTCCCCCGGTTTTGCATTTTTAAAACTTGCTATAAATAGCACAAAAATAAAAACTCAAGCCACAAATCAATAGAAAAGAAGCTTGTCATGAATTCACAGATTTCGTGCTAATGCTTCAGCGTTTCATTGAATGCATTCACAAGTTAAACATGCTTAGTCATATTTACCTACAAAAGTTTAGGTAAATCATCGAGGACCAACATTGCCAAATATTTCAAGTACTCACCAAATGGAGGAAGGATAGAATTTCTATTAAAATGATAAGGGAAGCATCATTAAAGCATCCTTGAATCAATAGAGAACTTCAAATACATCATCTGATCTCATTGGTTTTTTCATACTATCTTATTTAAAGCGTGTAGCCGAAAGTGTCCACACAAAAGTCTAATAAATTCAAGCACCCCAAATTTCTAACAAAGTCTTTTGTTGGGGAAAAAAATTACTATTCAGGAAAAGATAGCTTTTTATCAAGTGGACGCCAAACTCTGTAGAAATATGAGGAGAAATAAAGCTTCATAAGAAAGAAGATAAGAACCACAAACGTAACTTCAAGACTCAAGAACTTCTGCTTCATCACATAATTAAATAGCAGAAGCAAAATGTCAAACCTCAGCATTAATGTACCGGACGTTCTTCAATTCAAACTCAGAATCCTTGTTGTGTTCTTCCCTTTCAAGGACAGCAAGCACATCATAAGACAAAGCCTCCTCAGAAGTTGGGAAGCCAATGCACGTCAGATCAATATCTCCATTAGGAAGATATGTTCTTAAGGGAAATGATCCAAATGGAAATATCTGTAGTTATTTCAAGGTATAAGGAAACCAATCTTGAAGCAATACGTGATAAAGTCATAATAGAAATAAAAGCGTCCACAGAAAGCATAAAGGAAGTTGAAAAGAGCATTTCCTAAAGACATGAATGATGGACATTAGCATTACTGCTCCTCATCCCATTTACTCATTGGATTAGTACAGGTACGGGTAAAAATACGATTACAAGAGGAACTAGGTACGAAATATCTAAAATCTTAGTTATTAGTAAAAGGAAAAATATACAGAAATTAATAAAAATATTAGAGATATGGAAAGGATAGAAATAAACATAGGAAAAATAGAACATTCACTATATGACGTTAGGACTTACATTCAAATGGCAAAGAGAACGTTTGATATTATAAAGGGAAGGAGTGTCCGCTCATTTCCTCCCCAGAATAACTTATTAAGTGCACGTGTACAAAAGGGCAGACGAATTTGTTGAGAATAAATAAATAAATAGAATATTATTCTTAAGACACTTAGACCAGAGAAAGATATACACTACAATATTTCTTACATGAAATATGTGTCATATCATATATTCAGCTAAACTTAGATAGAAGTTACACTTAAAAACACCTAATCCCAAAAAAATACGATTTCCAACCCTAACTCACAAAAAATAAATATTGCACAAGCTATCATAGTGGGATTATTTTGGTTCCTATTTAAAGAGTTGAGAGACCAAAATGGTCCTTTCATATAGTTAGAGAATATTTTGATGTTTCATAATGAGTCAAAGGACCATTTTGTTTCTTTTCTCATTAGAGAAGTAACATTCTTTTCATTAAAATTTGTTTGAACTTTGGAATGATGTTCATCAATTCTTTAAAATAGCTGGCATGTTAAATTAATAATTATTTCTATCATGGAAATAATTTTACGGTTCCAAAACATACAAGTTGACCTTAATTAAATAAATTTTATAACTTGAATTGCCAAGCTATCCTTGAAAAGGAAATTATTTGAAGGGGTGTTGTTCAGTCAATTCAAAAGCACAAAATCATTATTTATTTTCATTTTATGAATAAGCATTCTACATGCAACTATCAGTTATCTTTCATTGGCATGTCCAGGAGTTATGACCCTCTAGTCAAATTCTCCCTATCATGTGAAAGTAACTACGTTGGTATTGGCTTTGTACCTTTATATAAGTGCATATACAGCTTCCATATCTTTGATGGTTATTTTGCCACTCACGGATTTACCATGATCACATGATGAGAACCACATTTCACATCATCTCCATTCTCCAACTCATTCTCAAAGAGTTCAAACTGTATTCGCATATAAACAAATTTATTGCCATTAGTTCAGATAGTTAAACACAAGTTTATAAAAAAACATGTTTGCTAACATTGAAACTATGGAACATTCATGCTGACTTTATTCAGCTCATAAAAAGTCATAGCTTAGATGATTAGACTAGGAATCTAGAAGAAACAGCCAAAGCTTGTTGGAGAATTTTTGTATCCTCAAACGGATTGCATATTTTATAACGAGCGCGATCGAGCCTAGTCGGGCTAGATCGGGGTCGAGTCGGTGCGAAATATTCGTCAACAAAGCTGGGGCTTCTTAATGAAGGGAAGAGCTGAGAAGTGAAAAGATGGAGATCGATCCAACATGTCCCCTCCCTTTCAAGAGATGTTTAGCTTCATTCTATAATATGGCAGATCTTTTCTATAATAACTAGATGTCTATCTTCGCAGCTACTGCCATGGTAAGATTCACGGGACAATTCACCGCGTGAATCACATAGAAGATAATCAGCATTAGGGTAGTACCAAAGGGAGGGGAAAGAAGAACAATAAAAATATCAATTCTAAGAAATTTTATATGCCTTTAACTCATAACAATTAACATAACATTAATAGAACTATTTTTCTCATTAATTCCAAATAAAAGAGGTCCATTACAACAACAACAACATTATCAAACCTTTATCCCATTCATTATAAAAAATAGAACACAAAAGGCTGATCGTTTCTAGTATTGGAAGTCAAAATGGTGAAAACTGAATGGTATGCCTGATGTAGAACGAACATGCGAAGGAGCTTCTTAAGAGAATTAAAAGTGAATGACAACGTAATTTCAATTAATATCTTATTGAGATAGCAAGAAAATCATTCAAATTTCGTAGTTATCAACTAGCTTAGGGACCTCATCAATGCCTCTTATACAAGTCAAAAATGGATTGGTTCACACAGTTTATCTCATCAAGACATTATACAATGTCAAACACTCCTATTATAAACACAAATAGGACAACCATAAATGCTTAAAGGCACACAACGGGAGAGATTATTTTGTGCGGCGTCCCAACATGTCCGGAGGCGAATCCGGACACGCCACATCACCGGGGGCCCAGTGCATCCAGTGACTTGGTGCGTCCAGATTTGCCTCCAGATGCGTCCGTACGCCGCACAGAATAATTTTTCCTGCAACAGACATGTGATTTATCAGCAGTTAGCTATCTTGCATCTATGGCTGACCAATTTTAAGTTGCACCATGCCAACTTCCATATTAACTGAAACCTCATCAAAATACAACCGCAAGCAATTCAAAGCACCTACAAAAAACACAAGTACTATTTTAAAACCTCCTAAAATTTATTTTTTGTCAACTTTTTAACTAACGATTACACGTGACAATATCTACATTCTAAAAAAGTTTGTGGTAATGAAAAAATAGTAAAATACTGCAAGTTAATAGTTCATACAGCCAACATAATTATGCTACCTATTAAAATTAGAACGAACAACGACAAATGTCGCAACAAATAATGCAAAGCTAAGAGGAATATAAAAGTGCAATCACGCAATAGAACGCAATAGAAATTATCAGTTATGGAAACTTGATACCAAAATAGTGCAAGACCGAGATACGAAGGAAAACCCACGTCAATACCGATCAACTTATGCAAGTGCTTCACAACACTGTTCCTCCTCAGTTCCGATGCCAACGTAGGATGTATACGCCGTATAATCCCCAGTGCAGCCTGCTCAGCCTGCCACCAAACACTGGCCTCGATCACCGATGGATTAGGGTTCGGTGGATGCGACTCCGGTGAAGTATATCCAGCTGGGACAAAGTCGACGCCTTCAGGTGGCCGCTGGGAACCCTCCTTCATGGTTGCACGCGCGGAAACCTAAGGTCTAAAAGCAAAATCTCATTTCGGACGATCCAAATCATAGCTCGGACGATTAGACTAAGAATCAAGAAGAAGCAGCGAAAGCTGGGGCTTCTTGATGAATGGAAGAGCTGAGAAGTGAAGAGATGGAGATCGATCCAACACATCACCTCCCTTCCAAGAGATGTTTAGCTTCCTTCTTCCGTTCTTCTTGCTAAAACTCTTCGCAACAGAAATAAATGAATTCTCTTTTTGCCGTTCCGAGAATTTGGGACACAGGGCGGGGAGGGAGACAAAAAAGGGCGGATCTTTTCTGTAATAACTAGTAGTATTGATGTCTATCTTCGCGGCTACTGCCATGGTTAACATTCGCGGACAGGTCACCGCGCGAATCGCACAGACAGATTGTAACGCTCTGCTTCAAACCTGCAAAAATGAATTCAGATTTGTATGGATGAACTTTCTTTTTTGATTATCCTTATGGTCGCCGCAAAGTTGCATCAAAATCGAGGACGAAGCAATCCGGTTTTAGCCCTAACTCCGAATTTCGGTAGCTATGCCTCAACTTCTCATTCGAAATGCAGAATCGAATTTAATTAATCTTTTGAAAGTGGAAATTTTCGAGCATTACACCTTTTTTATCATTACATTCTAACTCTAACTGAAGACTGTTTAAAATTATTCGAAGTTCAATTAACACCTAGAACATAATTTTCTATTTGACAATTATTGCTCTACAACTCAAAACTATAAAAATTACACAACCTTATAAGATCAGTTGGGTCAAGAAGGAGATTGAGGTTGGTATCTCTTAAATGTGTTGTGTTACATTTTTCATATGAAAGCACTACATGTGTGAAGTTCTTTTCGACGTTCTTGAGATGGATGTGTGTCATCTCATACTGGTGAGGCCGTGGCAATACGACAGCGGGCAATTTATGACTGTAGGGTAAATGTATACTCATTTGAGTGGAAAATAAGAGGATTTGTCTCCTACCCAATTCCACGGAGAACACACATAGAACTAGCGTCCCTAATCTCGAAGCGTGCATTATCTTGGGATAGGCTTTACTACAATTAAAGCTTACCTCCACCCAAATGTGAGTGTTGGAAGCAAGTGACTCGGGTGCTAGTCCGCCGTTCCTGACTCATTCCATGGAAATTCAAGACTTGCTCAGTTTGTTGATGTTGTGCCACAAGACTTTCCATGACACTACCCCCATTAAGATCAATTCAACATCAAATAGAATTCCTTCCCAATTCCACCTTACCAAATTTACCTCATTGCAAGATGTTTCCTAAAGAGCATTCTATCTTACAAAGTAATTGTTGATGATCTATTGCATAAATAGCTAATTTAGCACAGTGTTGGCCCGTGTGCAGTATGGACACTTATTGTTTCAAAGAAATGTGGGAAGTGGAGGCTTTGCATTGACAGTCGAGCAATTAATAAGAATACAGCAAAGTAGCGATTCCAAGTCCTTAATCTGAGTGACATGCTAGATCGACATGTCGAAGCCACTGTTTTCTCCAAATTGGATTTGAGGAGTGGATACCATCAGATCCGCATACACATCGATGATGAATGGAAGACGGCTTTCAAGACAAGGGAATGATTTTTTAATTTCAATTTTTTATTTTTTTTAAGGGAATGATATATGAATGGAAGGTCATGCCCCTCAACCTATGGAATGCACCTTCCACCTTCATGAGGCTCTCATGAACGATATTCTCAAACTTTACGTTGGAAAATTATGTGTTGTATAATTTGACGATATTTTAGTTTTCAGCACCTGCATCAGTGAGCATTTGGAACATTTGGCACAAATCCTGGAATGTTTCCGTCGCAACCAATAGTTCCTAAATCTTCCAAAATGTCAATTTGCAAGCTTCATAGTTCATTTCCTTGGATTTAAGATATCGCAGGAGGGGTTTATATGGACCCCCCACAAGGTATCTGCTATCACATAATGACCCACTCCACACTCTTTATTTGACGTCTGAAGCTTCCATGAGCTAGCCAATCTATACATGCAATTTATTAAAGGCTTCAGTGTAATCATGGCCCCAATCACAGATTATTTGAAATCACATTTATTCCAGTGGTCTCCAAATCAACAACAAAGTTTTATTGGATGACAAACCTTAAAAGATATGTTTGAAACAAATCCCGACTTTGCTGAGAATGGGACACAATGCATTCAAAATCATCATGTTCAATATTTTACATTAAGGCATGGCTGGGCGAACTTTTATTTGGTCCGGTGAACGTACGTAGAGCTACGTTCGGCCGGCACTAAGATCACAGGCACAAAACGAGAAATACTGAGCAAATATCGAGCAATACCAACAATAACGAGAAATACCATTATGTGAAGACAAAATACCGAGTAATACCGAGTAATACCGAGCAATACCGAGTAATCCCAAAAAATACCGAGTTTTTTCAAGAAAAACTCGGTATTTTTTGGGATTACTCGGTATTGCTCGGTATTACTCGGTATTGGTCTTCACAGAGCGGTATTCCTTGTTATTACCAAACAATACCTAGCAATACCGACCAAATATCGAGCAAAAACCGAGTAACAATCCTCTGACTGAACGTAGAGCTACATCTGGTCAGAGGACGTAATAAAAGTTCCATGTGTGCAGAGATCGCATAGTGGCTCAGTTATAAGCACGATTTTTTTGCTTGCACCTACGCCATGATGTTTCTTGTTTCATAGAACATTGCTTTATTTGCCAAACACATAAAGGTTTGACCTTTTTAACAAGTTAACTGAATTCAAATCAGATCAAATTCGAGTCGGGTTCAAACTTGACCCATTAACCTATTTCGACACTCCAAGCTAAAGATAATAATCTGAGGCTTCGTTTTGAACGGCTTTCTTAAAGCAGCGTTCTAGTGCAAAAATTTTAATTTTTGTACTAGAAAGTTACTTTAAGAAGCATTATGAAAGTCGTCCCAAATCAAGCCTAAATTAGAGAGTATTCCCACATAGGGGTTTCAAAATAGGTTGATGGGTCGGGTTTGAGTTCAACCCAAAATTTATCCAACCCGAATCCAATCGACTCGAACCAAAAGCTCCACAACAATGTTAATCCCAAGGAAAAATAGTAATTCAGATTAGGAAAATTAGCATGAATAAATGGCTTATGTAAGTTGATTATTATCATTTATCAATCTATCTACGCCCAATACAAAACTCTAAAAGTTCCCAAACATTTAACATTTTTAGAGTTTTTTTTTTTTTCATATGAAGATTCTAACTTCAAATTGGATTTCCCTATACAATAATCAATTTTGCCCAACAATTTTCTTATTGTTTTAGCTTTGCAACTACCAAGCTAAAAATCTTGCTCAACTCTATCATGGAAAAAAAATGCACATAGTTCTTTTATCAGGAAACGAAAGATAAAAATTTAATAGAAGACATATTGCGGAAATATAATAGAACACCATAGATAGTTTCTTGGCAGAAAACTGTAATTTCTTCTAGTTTTAGCTTCAGGTTTCATTTGAGACAGTTTTTTTTTAAATGTTTTTTAAAATAATTTTTAGTACAAAATTTTTAATTAAAAAATTTTTGTGTACTACAAAGCTAATTTAAAAAATAGTAAAAAATGTGACTTCATTTGGAACGACTTTCTTACTGCTTACTAAAGCAATTTTATAGCAAAAAAATTAAAATTTTTATAATAGAAAACTGTTTTAAAAAACAGTAAGAAAGTCATCCCAAATGAAACCTTAATCCTCTATATTTAAACATCCAGGAAACAATTTTTTTCTTCTATTATAAAGACTTCCAAGTAGCATCGTTTACAAAAACTGCAGAACTACAGCCAATCTTAAAGGAATGAGAACAAATTTCACAGAACTTAGCAAATTTTTTTTTTTTGTATATTTAGTTATTTACTAAACAAAGAATGGTCGAGATCAGCCAAACTCCAATTACATTAAACATTTAGTAATTAAAAATGACAAAAAGCTCAAGCTGATTTAAATGAGATCAGCCATGTTATTTCAAGAACAATAGTCATCGAATATACCGAGTTTAATTTCACAAAAAAATATACTGAACAAAGAAAAAATGAGTATCTGACTTCCTTTCAGAATTGTTGAAGCAAGTTTACCGAAGATGCACTTGGCATCAATGTGTACTGATTAGAACTGGATGAACAGGGAAGAAGTCAAGCATGGAGATCTTTGTTTGAGTTCCAATGAGAGTTTTGAGTGATACCATCCACAGACAAATTTGCTTCATTTTCGACACCAATCAGAAGATCGAGCTAGCTTTACTTTGCCTTTAAGAAACAAAATGATTAGAGACAGATATATTAATGTATTATGCTTTTCTAATTTCTTTTACATTTCAATCATGAGCATTATCAGCTGGTTATCAGCTAGTCCATCCTCAAGTTATTTTAGATCCAGATTAGACTAAAGGAGCTCAAATGAAAACTGGAAAATGTAATTCAAAATAAAGATGAACTTTATCTACAGTTTTTAGTAATACTTTTGATAGCATGCCCTTGGATGGAAGGCAAGCAAGGTTATAGAAATTAAGTTTAGGTGATTCGAATTTGTACACCATTGAGTAGAAGATGTTAGTTTTTTGTGGAATTTGATTGCGTCAATCAATCGCGTTATATTGATGGCTCATATTTCAATTTCGTCGATCAGTCGAGCTCAATAAGGAGCTTGTTGGGGGGTCGCAAGAGCGCAATGTGCATCTTGCTTGAGGGTTCTGGGGCAAAGTCCACAATTTTTTTTTTTTGGTACAATGGCAAGGCGTTGTGGACGCACTAAATCTTTTTTTTTTTTATACATTATTTTTGCATTGTGTTATAACCGTATGGTGGTTATGCTCTAATGTATAAGAGTGAAGGGCTGCGAGATAAAGTAGATTGAAATATTTGTATAATTTATCGCTATTTTGATAGTAAATTTCTTGGTGTGGTGTGGCTCCGTGGCTTTTTTCATTTTCAGATTTTTCATGTACATTCTAGTATTCTTTCTCCACTGTTTTTATCTTATTTGTTTCAATTTGTACTCCCAATAGAAGATGCTAGACTAAGGTGGGAGATAGAACACATCTGAAGAGGAAAAAGGAAGACAAATATTCACATGGCCATAATGATTTACAAAATTCTATTTGACCCAACACCAACTAATTGCCAGTAGGCATGTCTGCATTTCTTCTTCTTTTTTTCAGATTTTAATTGGAATAGAGTATCACAAAGGGAAATAGGCAAATGTTGGTCGAACACCATGAGTCTTTTTTACTGTTTCTATAGCTACCCTGTAAAAATGTTTCTATTGAAGAATAAAACTATAGAAAATTTATTTAGATGATTTACACAAATATAAAGGAAAGCAAAAAATACACCATTAAAACAACGATATAAAAATTCATATGAAAGGAATACAAAGGAGAAGGAGCAGACATCCTATGAGTAGAAGCAAATAAAAAAGATTATCCAAGCAAAGTTAACACACATGCAAGACCTAAAAATCTGACATACAGAAGAATTTATAAAAACAACACCAACTAGTTGAGATTTTGTAACATATCTTGCTATTTGTGCTGTGGTTTCCGTGTTTGTTAGCAAGTGGAGAATAATAGAAACAGGCAAGATAATTAACACAGCAGGAAAAGACGCTTCTGTATACCTGCGATAGCTGGAGAATCACTTCACTAGCTTTTTGCTGGTTCTCAATTGCACAATGGTAAGAATACAGGACCATTCCAACTACTGCTACAGAAATTCCAAATATATTCCTCCAGCTAAATGGATCACGGAATAAAACATAGCCAAATGCTAGAACTAAGCATGTTTTGAGGTGACCCAAAACTTGGTATGTGACAGGAGATGTTTTTCCAATAACAAGAAAAGTACTGAAGTTCACAGAGACAGATATTAGGCAAGATACTACAATAAAGACCTGCAAAAGGATCAAATTTGAGTGGCCCTTCGAGCATTAATAGGATTCAATCATTCAAAGAATTCAGGTTTGCAAAAGAGATTATGTTTAGCTTACCAAAACTTCAGGTGTATACTTGAATGCAAAAACATTCTGTTTAGTTAGAAGTCCATCAAGAAAAGGACCAATTATGAAGAGGGTTATTGCCTGATATGGACAAGATTGATACAAGAGCTGAGTAGATGAGACTTTAAACCTCTTCTGAATTGTGTTGGTCATCTGAGAAGTGTAGGTTAAGCTTGTAGACCAGAACCAAGCAAGATTTTTCTTCCTCATTTAGACTTCATTTGGGATAGCTTTTTCATTACTTTCTAAAACTACTTTTTAGTACAAAAAATTCTAATTCAAGAATTTTTTTAACTAAAACACTATTTTAGAAAGCATTAAGAAAGCTGTCCCAAATGAAGTCTTAGTCATCAGGTGCAACTTCAGGCACAGCATAAGAGAAACAGCCAAAAGCCACCCTTACTTGGTTACAAAAAATTAATATTTTCATTGCGCTTGCAACCAAGAGGAATAACTTTTAAATGGCAATCAAAGCCTTAACTATCTTCTAATCTCATTATGTCACATATGTTAAACGTTAGGTTTTTAATTCAATTTCATTTCAGGCAGAATTGCTAAAATTGAGAACTAATACAGGATACAATTTGGGCGATGCATGTCGTGACAATTGCAAGCAGCGACAAGATAGATCCAAGAATATTGAGTTGAAGGTCTGTCACAGTGGCGATCCCAACACCAAGAAGAAGGATGGCTAGTGATAATTGGATGCTCCGACTGCAGTAAGCCAATAACAAAGAGCCAATTTTTTATTCAAACAACTACAGAAAGGACAACACACCAAAGACAAGACATAAGCCACACATTATAATTCAAAACAAAAAAATGCTAGTATGTACCAGCTAAGAGGTTGTTTTGATTGAGAGTGGGATTACCTAATCCAGATTTTTGTAACCCTACCAATCTTCTTATAAATAATTTCTCCGTCTTTAATCCTGAAAACTATTTGACACCGCACCCAGTTGAAGGATTATTGGATTGAAAGTTTTGAAATAGATTGCATTGATAATTATAATTCCATTATATAGCAATTGGGATTAAATTATTTATTTAAATAGTATATTAAGCAGGAAAATATGAAAATCGAGACTAGTTATGCAGGTCATTCAATAGCAACAACGTTTTATGGATTAATCAATAAACGACCTAACGGAAAATTAGTAATAATCATACAAATGAATTTTCAAGGGTGATTATACATTTAAGAAGAGGACTAAATTCTCATTCAAATGTCTAACAGTAATGTGCAGTAATATCAGCAATGTTCAGGGTTAATAACTACAAATCCAAATGCCTACAGAACCAAATCATCACCATACTACTATATCTGCCTTACATTGTGTAGAAGACAGACCTGAACTTCTTTCTGAAGAAGAAAGTCTCTAACAGAACAGTGCAAGGGATAATTGCAAGCTTTGTCATCTGGATTGCAAAGACAAGCACATAGAACAAATGAATAAGCTTGAGAAATAATAGCAGTAAAACATGAAGAGCTTTACAATCTAAGTGCCAATTGGGCATGGCATGTTGAAAATGTAGAATAAGACTACAGTTACCATAAATCTCAAACTTGTATCCAAAAAGGGCCAACACTAACTAGTTATGTTTAGCTTTATAACCAAAACATGCACAGAAAAGAAAGCTTATTTAGATAGTAACGTAGTGCAACTCTTAGGTAATGCTCCAATAAAGTTCATTAAACAAAGCAAAAGAAGATGAAGCACCTGGTAGAATCCAACCGAGTTGAAACCAAGGCTTAAATTCAATAGACCAATAGAGCATCCATTCAATATTCCAAATCCCGTTACTGCCCTTGAATCAAAAGGCTTATGTTCAAACAACTTCATCCATAGAGCCATATGAAGAGAACAAAATGTAGCTAAAAGATGCCAGCTTGTCAATGTTGTGGCTGCAAATCACATATGAGAGCAATTAAATATAGTATGTGTAGCTGAGATTAACCACTATAAGCTGATGACTTAAGTTCCATCTAAAACAAAGAATATCCATATGAGCAAACTTTTTACAAAACTAGCAAATGGTAAAAGGTAAATAAATCCATAAAGGCATCATCAGTTCATCAAGATACAAAGGCCACTTGATAAGATTTAGAGAAGTTTAGGGGTCTTTTAAAATAATTTTTTATTTTGTTTCTCCTTTGTTTATGTTTTTACTAGAAACAAAAACACGCTTGAATACTGCTTAAATCCTATGTTTTTAATGGAAATAAACAATTACAAACATGCATGAGAATTGGGTTTCAACTTGTGGAGCAAATGAAAGTGTGCTTTCATTCTAATGGTACTGAATATGTGTGCATGACCACCAACAAAAGCAAAAAGATATTTTCATTGCTCGTTGCAAATGTGCTAAGTTTGGTACACCGAGTATCCTAAGCCATCTTCACCGGCACCACAATAGTCCATAGACTAGTGACCAGATCTTAATCTAAAGCGTTGCATCAAGTTGTAGGGTCGTCAATAACATTGCAAATCTCTGAAGCAAGTACCTTAGGCCAACCACCCTCTCCCCCATCCAGGGCAAGGAATATGTGATGGTAATCAATCAAAACAAACTCCAAAAGAACAATGGCTGGCCACTTCACTAGAGGAAGGAAGACTGCTGGAGTATTGATAGAAGACTAAAATTACTCTTCTTGTATATTTGCCTAGCCAAATTTTGGCATAAGGAGAATGATTTTTTTTTTGCTTTATTTTCTTGTAATCACGTACCTTTTTTTTGCTTACTAATAACATTTCACACATCCATGAGATGCTTTTAATTTGGCTAAGAACTTACCTTATATAGCTAGGTCAGCCTCCACTGGATTATTGAATAATGCTACTATTTCGCTTATGCAACTTTGTATGGAAAGCTTGTTAGTTGCTCTACATCATTGGTAAATCTTGGTGGGTGATCCCTTCGGAGTTTGGTGATTCCATATTTATCTTAGGTACTTAACATCTCCCGTATCCTCTCATTTTTCCCTCTTTTCCCTCTCTTTAACTTGCAGACTAACACCAAACCTTGCTCCAAACTTCACCCACTCCTCTTCTCAAACCTATAAGATTCCCTAATATCACCCCTAAGACCCACAAGCACCCAACCCCCTTCCTTCCATATCTAACCCTTCCTTCCCATAACTCTACTTAGCTAACTTCAAAAACTTCCCCCCATCCCCGCCTTAAGCTCTCTCTTCAAGCTAAACGTTGCCTTTGCCACCAATATCCTTCAGGCATCTCAATCATGTTGCTATCGGGACATGTGCTCCAAGGAATAAAAATAAAGAAGCTTGAAGATCAGTGGAATGGAAAAGACTACTGCAAATATTTGATTTCCTCCTGGGCAGGATTACATCTTTTAACTGGAGGTTGGTCATCTTTCAAGAATGGTTATTCTTGCTCTCCAAAAGTGTTTACTTCCCTTATTTGTTAGTATAATCACAGAAAAATATGACCTGAAAATTGTATATCACCTAGAAACTCTATAGGCAATTTGCAAGTAATCTAGTAAAAAGCTACTATTCAAACCTAAGTTAACCAACGTTAAACCTACCAAAACCCTAATTTCATTCTAGTTTCCATAAAATGCGAGTGAGCTCTACTAAAATATAGCCTTAAACTTTCTTTTTGAAAAAACATATTTTATAAACAAACAATTAAATGCGTACAAAATGAAGTAATCACAAGAAATTATCAATAGATAAAGTGGAAATCAAATTACAAAGCAAAAACAACATAAGAATATATAAGAAAGTATGTATCCTATGGATGAAGGAACCCCCAAAACCCTAGTTTATTGTGCCTTGCTTATAACCCGACAAATTTTGGTGAGTATACCCATACTTCTTCCATATTTCAACCCGCTTAACAAATAAGATTTGGAACCTTCTATCTACTCATGCTTTGATGCTCAGGATACAACTATCAAAATTATTATATCGTTCAAAATATGACTCATCAAAAACAAAAAAATCATGAAAGGCTAAAATATTTGTTGGAATTTGATAAATATACTTGCATGCAAATAAGGTGTCAACCAAATCCTTGTGACCTAGGACAACAAGGGAATGCTCTAATTACAAGACCATGTCTAAAATTGGTTCTGAATATCATGTACAAACGAGATATGAAGTGGAAGGAACTTTGACCACCACATTGTAGATAGATTTTGATCATTTTTATGTTCCCTCTTTCGCTGAGGTTAAGATTAACAATAGTTGATTTCCTCAATTATATGCGAGCCTTAAAACATTACGAGTAGTTATGACAATTTGGTGAGAAGAATAATAAGAAGATATGCCTTCAAATTCAAGCTTCTACTGATAACCGCTTAAAGAGGAACAAATCCAAGTCTCCTCTTTTAGAGGAATAGTAACATCCATTTCAACCAAGGCACTACTAACAAATGAACTAAGAGGTTATGCAATAGCAATACTCACTTATAAAAGTTTATCATAAATCAAATCTAGAGATTATAAGATGAGTTGTTTAAAGTAGTGAACACAAAGCATAAGAGAAATAACCCAAATATGCAAATGCTTTATGAGACTGTTGATTAACATTTGATTACAAATTTAAAATTTTAGCATACTTAAATGCATTTTGTTGGAAATGGAAGTAAAACATGTCATGAAACAAATAAGAAAATAGAATGCAGCAAAAGTAAAAGATACTAGGATTTAACGTGAAAAAATTCAAAATCGGTAAAAAACCACAGAGCCATGACACACCGAAAAATCTATGAAAATTAGGAGGAATAAGTATATATCTCTCTTCTGTCTCACTCTCTCCTTGCTTCTCCACTATCCTACTCCATTCTCACTCAAAACAAGAGAAAAAGATGAGTTAATAACACCAAGGGACCACCCTTAAGAAAAATGAGAAAGAAACAATGTTCAGTCCACCTCGCAACGTTGCAACGTCAGTTTGGAGTGTTGCAGTGCTCAAACCTCAAATCATAAATAATATTTTGAATTACTTACATGCGCTCCATATTTGATTATAAATTTACACTTTTAATTATGCTTAATCTTATTAAAAAAACTATATAATTTATGTTTCTCACCATTTGTATATTTCTCAAAATAGCACACAAATTTTTAGTCGTTGATAATTAATTAAATTACTATACATCACAAAAAAAAAATGAGAGTTAATTTTTAAGAAAATGCATAAAATTAAAACTTCAGGCCCAAATGCAATCCAAAAGGTCCTGAAAAAATAAATTTACAAGCTTAACATAAAATGGTGAATTTGCAATTATATATTTTTAGGAGGGCAAATTTGCAAATATAAACTTAGGAGGGACTTCATTGAAAAAAATTGATAATAAGAGTGGCCAAGGAGAGATGAAAGAGAAATCAAGTGGAGAGAATTCAAGAAACTCTTCAAAATTCACTCCACAAAATCTTCTTCATTAACCATCGTGGTTGTCCAACTTTTAAGGACAAATCCAAGAGAATATTCTCTTAAATTCAGCTGTAAGTGTTTTTGCTTTCTTATTTTAAGTATTATGCTAAAGATATGCCTTATCTATCAGTTTATATTAGTCTTTAATGTTATCTATAATTTAAATGGATGAGGATATTTAGAATAAGATTTTCTTAAGTTATGAAAAAGTTAATATTACGTGGAAAAAAAATAGGAAATAATATTAATAATATTATAAACTATATGCTTGGATAATCAAAAGAAGGACAAATCCAAGAGAATATTCTCTTAAATTCAGCTGTAAGTGTTTTTGCTTTCTTATTTTAAGTATTATGCTAAAGATATGCCTTATCTACCAGTTTATATTAGTCTTTAATGTTATCCATAATTTAAATGGATGAGGATATTAGAATAAGATTTTCTTAAGTTATGAAAAAGTTAATATTACGTGGAAAAAAAATAGGAAATAATATTAATAATATTATAAACTATATGCTTGGATAATCAAAAGAAAAAGCTCCTAATAGTAAAAATAGTTGGTGATGGAATCAAAATATTTCAAAAAAATATAAAAAATACAAAGCTTTTTAATAAAAAAATTGGTTTAAATATAAAAGCTAAAAAAATTGGAAAAGATATAGAAGGTCCATAAGAAGTCTAAGAAAGTATTATACGATGCAAAGAATTTAGCTTTTTTTTAATTCTTACAAGCTCAACAAAGATCTAAGAGTGCATGTGCTCTGATTCACAATAAATATTATGAAAGTCAACTTAGAAAAACATTACATTTATTGCCATCATAAGTTTAGATGCTTTAAAATTTTTGAATATTTCTCTTTAGCATTTGCAGTAGTTAAAATTTAGAAACTACTTTTAATTGAATTTGGTAGGATAAATTTTGAAACTCAATTAGACAGTATTAGGGCGAACATAGGATAGTATATTTTTCTTGTTGGATCGACACTCTACACTTTATTACTTAATCAGCACGCACACTTATGTGCCATTCAGACTATGTATGATTTACGCTTCAACTTATTTATTAGTGCATGCTAAGAGTCCCATCATTTAGTTAAAAATAAACTATTTAATAGAATTTTTCAAATATATTAAGAATATATCAAATGATTAGAGATGAAATATTTTGATACAAATATTTAGAAGCAAAGATGCTCTAGATTATGATAATTATAAAAGAATCAAACTTAAACATCATGCAATGAAGCTATGAGAGAAAGAAATAGAATATAAGATTAGCAAAATTACATCAACTATCAAATTTAGTTTCATGCTAGGAAGTTCTATTTGAAATTATTTTTTTGTTAATAAATTTAAGAGAAAGTTACATACAACAATAACATAAAGTCTTTATCCCGCTACGTGGGGTCGACTACATGTACATTAGAAAATTATATAGAGGAAACAAAAAGTTTTTCATATGATTTGCTATGGTGTATGGTCTTGAGAAAACCTATGATCAAGAATGATAAGAATAATGTGGTGAGTATGAAGGTAGAAATATGTGAATCTAGGTTAAGTTGATGTTATTAAAGATATGTATGATGGCTCATTAACTAGTACTGGAAGTAGCTATGAAATCACCCATCGTTCTCAATTTCATCAATGATCAACATTGAGTCCATAACTTCTTTTTTTTTTTTATAGAGATTGTTACAAAGGATATTCAAAATGCAGTGTCATTGCATGCTTTTTATAGATAATATAGTTCTAATTTGTGAGACACCCATTGAAACAAATGCAAAAAAATAGAATAATGAAAATATTTAAAACATAGATTGAAGTAGAATTAGTAAAACAAATATGGAGTATATAATAAGCAAGCATCAATCAAATAAAACATAAGATGATCAAAGGTCTGATAGATTTTATTATCTTAGTTCTATTATTTAAAAATAAAAAGATATTGATAAGGATATAACTTCAAAAGTTAAGGCTAGATGTAAATCATAAGGTTTTGCTTATTTCACGCAATGTCAAATGTTAAACAATATCTTTGAGAGTATCAATGTTAGATCTTCATTACTCCCCTCGTTTTACTTCTTTTTCAATAAATGTCTAAGTCATTATTAGGGGAATAAGGCTAGATAATCATCATCAACATTAGAGATTTAAGCCAAATATTTCGATCCAGATCTCTCACCAAATGTAAAACCGAGGGCACTGATGAGTGCCTTGTTGCAGATCACGATTGACACCGAGGAGACCACCGACAGCGACAGCGCACCTACAGTACCCAGCTGGAACCGCTGCTTCTCGCCCATCTCCGCTCCCAGATTCCCAACTGCTCACTGCTGCAATCTGCAACACAACCAAATTCATGCAAATAAAAAACCAAAAAAAAAAAAAAAAACGGAAAACAGTTCCACCTATCAACCTCACCTCATTCCCAACCAGAGCAAATGACAAACGTGTATCAGCATTCAAAATCTGAGAAAAGATTCCTTAATTCGCAGCCCTAAACCAGTTCGGATTCCGATAAGAAACAACAAGACCTGCCTTCCTCCTCAAGGTTCGAGAATGCAGTATCTCTGGCTATTTTATAATGCCTTCTTCTCCAAGCGCATTAAAATCTTCCCTTCGATTTGAAGCTATTCTTAAGAAGAGCGGGAGGGTGGAAGCAGGAGATGAAAGATAGAAGCGAGCTCCTTCGTCCGTGCATTAGGCTTTTTCTCTCTCCCTCTCAAATTAAATGAACTAAAAATTCATTTTGTTCCCCCCGTTTTCTTGCCGCCATAACCGGAATTCGGAAGAAGGTTGAAAAGGAGGAGATTATGGCTTTGTTACGTCCCATCTATTATTTTACAAATAACGCCGCCACATAAGCCGAAATGTTATTTTTTATTTTTATTTTTTTTCTGCTAAGGGTAATTACAATTTTATTTTTCTTAGAGGCTATTTAGGTTAAATTTTTATTTTTTTACATTTAATTTATATTTTATAAATAAATTGAGCTTGTATTTTTAAGCACTTAAAATAATATTTACTTATTTTTAAATTTTCTTATTTTCTAAAATAAAAATCATCTCAATTATAACCTGCTGCTATGAATTCTAACAAAGTTAATAAGAATAAATCTATTATTAACTTCTCCGACAAGTTAGATATTATTATGAATAACAAAAATGATTACCTACCAAATATTGTTATGTGCTATGAAATTGAGTCAATATATTGTATATTTTACATATCAACATTATATAAAAAATGAACACTCACAAATAAAAATAGTGAAATCTGAATTTTTTTACATGAAAACCCCCCTGGAAGAAAAAAAATTATGGGCCTAGCCCAAATAAAAAAGATAATATATATCAGATGATACAATAATATTTCATTCCTCAAAATTAAGATAAAAGAGGACCATTTCAAAATATGATTTTCCCCTTATGGAGATTACATAAATCAAGTATTCACATATGGACAATTAGCACCCAATAACAAATTTTTATTTCCTCAATAGGGATTATAAAAAGTAGGTGTCCACATGCAAACAACTATACCAAACGATAAGGTTAAATCTTAAAAGATAACAGCGATTATTGATGTTGATCGCCAGCAGCAATGGTGGTTGGTGCTGACAAAAGCTGATTGTGATCGTCGACAGCGATAGCAAAAAAAATGTAAGAGTGCTCTCGAGTTGTATCCTTTCTTTCTCCTCTCATGTAGAGAATTACTCTATTTATAGAACTTTTGAGATGGATATTTTAGTAATTTGAACCATAATCCAGAACACTTCATCATACAATTTATATTGATTCCTTTGATTATGAATCATTTATTCATCATTTAAGTGTTTTAATGATATCATAATTGAGTGATATTGGGCTCGTTGGATTCAACTAGTTGAGCCGCTCAAATTTGACTATAGACATGTTGAATTTGGATATCATTTGGCCATCAAATTAATGTTTGAAGTTTCTAATTATGCTTAAAGTGTTTTAATTAGGCTCATTTAGGCTTGGATTGTGCCTCTTTTGATATCGTTGGTTTCGTCTCATTAAGACGTTCAGTTGAACTATAAGTTTGCTGTAATTGAAATTCATAGAGTTCCGAATTTAATTTCAAAAGTTTCCAATACAAAATTTACTTCAAAATTCGTGCCGATCATACCAAATTTTTCATAGATATATCAAAGATAAAATTATTTTATGAACAAGGCTGCTCCCTAATACCATGAAGTGCTGCAAGATTCAGCTCAATGTAGAGGTAAGCATACACAAGAAATGCTAATATTCTCAACTTAGGCATAGAGGAATGCATAATGCATCACATTTAAGAAACACTTGATGGTGGATATTGAGAAGTTGGTTAGAAGCAACGGCTGAGATGGAAAGATGCGAAGAAGAGTTGCTAGCTAGCTCCAGTTAATTGGATGAATGCAGGCTCAAAGTTATGATTAATTAAAGATAACAATCCACCATTTGAATTTTCTAAATAATAATACATATTGCAATCACATTAATTTTTCTTAAAACAATTTAATAACAGACCAAATCACCAAACAGAATAGCTACTTCCACAGCCCATCGGGACCAACTCTAACGTTACGTTAAGGCCCATATCTTTTTATGGATCACAAATTCCTAATAGGCTATATTTATGATAGGGGTGTCAATTTTTGACACGATCCGAATCCGATCCGGAAAAATTCGGATTAGGGTCAACCCGGACCCGGAACGGGTAGGGTTCGGGTTCAAGAAATCAACCCATTTTAAAAATTGGATCGGGTTCGGGTTGACCCAACAATCCGAAATTGATTCGAAATTGACCCGAAATTGACAGAAAAACTCCTATTTGACCCGGAAATCCAAGATTGACCCGTTTTTGACCTGATTTTGATCCGAAAATCGAATATTGACCCGATTTTTTACCCTAAAACTAGCAATTTTAGGTCAACTTTGGGTCATTCGTGTCGGGTCGGGTTGACCCGAATCGGCTCGGGTTCGAGTCCAGAAACCTGACCCGTTTTTAAAAACATGTCGATTCGGGTTGACTCGAATAGTGCCGGATTAGTTTTGGATTCAACCCGAACACGACCCGTTGACCCGAATTGACACATCTAATTTATGAAAAGTTATATATATATATATATA